AAATTGGCATTAATTTCAGAAATGAGTCATTCAATGTGCATTGAAACCAAAAACGAATACATGAGCCGGCACTTCCTGTTTTAAGAAAATGGTTAAATGTAATTTTACTTGTTGATTATTATGTGCTAGTATTCCTTTTTTTTTTTTATTGACTGATGTTCTATTGTTCCATCGGTTTGTATTCATGGGATAAAATTATGGAGAGTAATTTATTTATTTTTATTTATAAGCAAGTAATTTATTTCTATTTGTATTACAAATTACAAAATCTAAGGAATATTTATTTAATTTTTATTATGAAGTACATCTAACTATTTTGTTAGAATCAAAGAAAAGTAGTTAGGTGGTTAATTTTATCTGAAAATAAAATAAACTTTAAATTCCATCTCTGTTTAAATGAACAATTTTTAAATGTTTATTACATTTTTCTTATAATTAATGAATTTAAATAATAATAATATTTTAAATGCATGATTAATATTTCATCAAGTATTACGTAAGGTAAAAGAATACTTGTAAAAGTTGCCTTATAACAATAAGGGAAGGAAATACATGCCTATTGAATGTATGAAATGAGTTGTTGTGGATGTCGTTTTACCAATTAATTGATAGCAACTATCAATGAAAAAAGAGCATTAAATGTAAGTTTTTTTTTTTAGGCCAGAAATATAAGTTCATTTTCCTGTGCATGCAGACGAAGAAAGGAAGTTAATTGAAATAATATTCCTTAAATTTCTTAAGCAATTATAATATTAAATTAAGAAATATCACTCCTTTTAATTTATAGGATACTTTTAAATAAAATTAATAGCACAAATTAAATAAACATTATAATATTATTTTTTTAAAAATCATTTCATTTAATACTCAATTTATGATAGAATGTTAAAGAGAGAGAAAACATGAGAATAGTAAAGTTGTAAAAAGTATTATTAATAAAATTTTATTTTTATCAAAATACTTTATATTTTGAAATATTGAATATCTTTTAAAAATACCTTATAATTTGAGACAGAGGAAGTCATTACCCCTATCAGAGTTAGTTTTAATTATCTCTTGTATTTGTTAAAAGGTAATTTTAACTATCTCACTGAAATCAATAATAATTGGTTGAGTCATTAACTTTCTTTAAGAAAAAATTAAAATTTTAATTTACCCTTATTTAAATGAAAAAAAATTCAATTTGCATTACCTTTTCCCTTATAGTTAATAAGTTTAGAGAGAAGTAATATTGAAAAAATGTAATTAATATTTTACCAAGTATTTTATATTAAAGATAAAAAAAATCTTTCCAAAAGGAAACTTATAATAAAAATCAAATGGTGTACTATCTCAAAGCTTCATATTTTAGAGCAAAGGATAAATTGAAAAAAAAAACATTAATGTATTGGATAATAAAAAATGGGACTTACATTTTACATAAGAAAAGCTTGATAACAACTCGAGTTTTTGGATTTATTTAAATTGGCCCAAATACTCAAATTCTAAAATATTATTTTATTTTATTTTTATTTTTAGTTAATTATAATTTTTAACTTGAAAAAATTAAAAATTTTAATTGTTATCTAATTTTAATTTTGTTTTATTAATTATAAAAAGAATTGAAATATTTAGGTTAAGTTCATTCGGGTTTTGGCTTGGCCAATATTTCTTCAAGCTTATTTAAGCAGTCTGAATAAGTCCAAAGATAAGAAAATTTTCTAAACATCCATGCCCAATACAAAGATTTTTTGGGTTTATTCTAATTGACACATTGAGCTTAACCCAAATTATCAGATCTAATCTTTTTTTAATCTATTAAAATAATTGATATTGATCATAGAGTTCTAAGAATAAAACTTAGGGTGTGTTTGATTCAAGGGAAGGGGAGGGAAGGGGTTTTAATACCTTTTGTTTGGTTTAGGAAGAAAGGAGAGGGGAATAAAAAATAAACTAACAATTTTATTCTGATCAAATTTAACTTGATTTTTATTTCTTTCTTTGAAAAAAATTGCTATATTATAATTTAATAAATTTTTATTTTAACAATATGAACTTATATTAATAAAAAAGGTTGAGCAAATACATTAACATTATATTTTATCAGTGAGTCTAATGAAAAATATTAAAATTGTATACATTAAAAAATTATATATTAATTTTTGTAAGAGGATAAAATTTATTTTATTATAAGAAAGAGAGAGAGGGGGGAGAGATAATACATATTTTTTAATATAAAAATAGTTTAAAAATTTTAAAATAATTTTGGTTATTTACTCTCTTCTATCCCCTTCCAAAAAATCCCAAATTAGAGGGGAGGAGAGGGGAGCAATTTCACTCTCATCCTCTTCAAAAACTTTTAACCAAACACCTTTAAGTAATTAAGAAAAGTTGACTTGTTTTATAAAATTAATAGGTATCTATATATTATTGTTAATTTTAGAATACAAGAGGTAATCCTGTTAGAGATATAGTTGGGGATCAAATGTAGATATATTTTTTGTTAGGAATTTGAATCTTAATTTATCACATTATAATGGATTAGCCCTTTTATTAAATTAAATTCTATTGATAAAAGAGTTATATTTTGAGATGAGAGGAGTATAACTTATTTCTAAGAAATTTATTTATATCTGTGGCCATTTGTTTATATTTATATGTTGTTTTACAATTTCAAAAATGGTATTTAGTACTCTCTTAGTTTCTATTCATTGCCCAAATTTTTGGACGGTGATTTATTTATATTTATATGGAAAATTACAAAATTTCAAGAGTATTTATTTTTTTTTTTCTCGCATATCTCTGTTGAATATATGAAATGACTTATCATAAATATTGCATTTCCCATTAAAGGCTAACAAATAAAGTAAGTATTATAAAATTTAAGACATGAATTAGTTGAGTTGATTAATTTATATTTAAAAATTAGGTAACTTCATCCTGTAAATAGTAATAGGGGAGTGCTACTTTTCCAAATATATCCATACACAAGTAACCTTAATTATTTTACAACACACACTAATTGACAATTATTATTTTATGTAACCACTCATTAATTTATGGGTCAAGTTAGGTAGGATAGGATTGCATTGTTGGCAAAGCTCTCCCAACAAGTATTTATTATTGTTGCATACTTAGAATTTGAATTAGCAAATGTTTCTTCCGTTTTTATATATAAGAGAAAAAAATTATATCACACAGTTTAAAAAAGTTAGTTAATCATAATAATTACATTGAAGATAAAAAAATCAAACTACAATGCCCTATATTAATCAATATAAGCATGCATTAATTATTTCTCACTAACATAAATTATGAGGGGTGATTAAAACAAGTGATTTTGCTTATACAAAAATAAATAAAAAATAATAGTTTTTTTTTATAAATAAAAATGAAGGGAGTACTTGTTAAACTAAGACAACTCAGTTGACCTTTGTACTTGTTGGTCTTAATTATTATTTTTAATAGAAGCATGTTTGAAAGGTAAATGAGAAATTTAATGCTACATTAATTACTTTTATTACTCTTTACTCCCTGCCATTCAAAGTATTAGTCATACTATTTAACACTCCTCCTGTCTCAAATTATAGTACACTTTTAAAAGAGTTTTTTCATTTTAAAATATAAGACACTTTGATTATATTAAAATTTCATTAAATACATTAATTCTAATATTACCTTTTTTCTCTCTATAATTAATTTTCATCCCTTTTGTTTTCAATGTATTAAATGATGGCATTTTTGAAAGTTTGTATTTTTATTTTGAAAAGATCAGGTTATTAAGTATATTTAATGAGATTTATTAATATATAAAATTTTATCTAGAAATATTTTATAATTTGATACGGACGAAGTAAAACTCACAGCATTAATTTTTTTTTTCTAATTTGTCCTCATATACAATTAAATACTATGAATAGTTAATTCATATATAGAATGTTGTTTTTAAATTTAATAAGAATAGTTTGAAAAGTGTTATAATTTTTGCTATAGTGCATGTCTAGTTCTTTAATTTTACACCATAGTTCCTTTGATATTTTAATTTTATAAAATATATTTTTACTCCTATAATTCTAATATTGTAAGTTTCATTAACAAAAAATTTTTATGTTAAACTTTCAAATATTAAAAAAATATTATTAAATGTTGACACATTAAGTTTAATTTTTTAAAATAACAATGATTAGAATACAAAATAATCATTCGAATCTAACAATATTAAAATTAAAAGATTAAAAGAATACTTTATAAAAATTAAGGAGTCAAATAAAAAAAATTAAATGTATACTTTAGTCTATAATTTTTTTTAATATAGATTCAAGGAGTTAACTTCCTTGAACTCCATTTATCTCAGTGCAATAAGGTAGATTAAAGGATTTATATTTTGCATTGCAAAAGGTGTGTAAAAATTTTAAATATTATGTAAAAACAAATGAATGATTTATGACTTCATGTATTCATTTAATTCAAAATTATAAAATATTTTTAATTAATTTATACTATAAAATAAATTATTTAATTATATTTTAAAAATTATTTTTTATATTTATTTTTATTTAATAGGATGTCTTAATTAAAAAATTTATAAATTATATTTTCTTAGTTAGAATTTTATTTATATAATAAAGTGCAAATGGTAGAAGCGAAGGTGAGAAATGGGGACGCAATCGTCATTTCACGGCAGACGCAGAAGCAACCCACTTTCGCCTGGGGTTCCCACTTGTGCACAAACCGCGTCTCAGACCTTGACACCCGTTTTGACGTTTGACTCAGCGGACAGCAGCCGATTTATTTTGAAGTCTCTGTGATCTCTTGCAACAAATAAAACAAATTACTCAATTAACAGGCAAATATGTTTCCCAAACCCAAATCACACAGCGAATCAGAGTGAGTGATTCACAAGAGAACAATTTTAGTAAATTTTCTTGAAAAACGTGTGGACGACTGGACGGTGATATTCATGCTGTTGCCTCTCCCTCACTTTCTCTGCATATAAACCCAATAAGAAACCCAACTCATTTCCCCATCATCTCCCGCACATACACTCCGCACTGAAGCCACCAACATCTCTCTCTCTCTCTCTCTCCCCCCACAACCTCTGTTGTCAGAATCCACAGGACCAAACAAGGAAGAGAGGCAGAAACAAAGATGGCCCTCGCGAAAGCAATCATGGTTTCTTCTTTGATCGAGAGGTCTCCATTTGCTTCTTCATCACAATTGCTTCTTGGCCATAGTTTTCAGCAAAAGCAGAGGCAGCTCTTGGTCAGGCCCTTTGCGGTTCCTTTGGAGAAGAACAGACGAGGAGTGAGGTTGAGTAAAGCTGCGAGGACCAACACTGTGGCGGCTATCAGTGAGGATTTGGTCAAATCCTCTTCTTCTTCATCATCGTCTTTGTCTTCTTCTGTTTCTGTTGAGAAAGCAGTGACATTCAAGGTTAGAGCTGTAGTAACTGTTAGGAACAAGATCAAAGAGGATTTTAAGGAGACCCTTGTCAAGCATTTGGATGCCATCACTGACAGAATAGGCAGGAATGTCGTTTTGGAACTTGTCAGCACTGAGATTGACCCAAGTAAGTTTCGTTTTTTTTCTGGTTCTTTTTTTCAGAAACGGTTGTAGTTACCTTATATAATGATCGTTCGTTTGTGTGATTTGAAACTCTTGCTCTCTGGGCGTGTCAGAAACGGTAGCAATTCTTTGAAAATTGGGAGCTTTTGAGAGATTTTCCTGTTTTGATCGATTTCCTTCTTCTGAGTCTGTCAGAAAACGGTAGCAAATAAAGCTTCAACCATGATCATATTCAGGGTTTCTGAATTTCGATCGTAGGTTGAATCCTTGTCATCATACCCAACTTTCGCAAATTATATTTCTGGGTGTGTCAGAAATGATTTTCTTCTTCTGGGCGTGTCAAATATAGTAACAAAATAGCCATGCTTGTGCGCTTATGATTCCGTGACTATCTGGACACCAAACCGATGTGACCGATGTGTTTGATTGTGCAGAAACGAAAGCCCCCAAGAAGAGCTATGAAGCTGTGCTAAAAGACTGGTCAAAGAAATTGAATGTGAAAGCAGAGAGAGTTAATTACACAGCAGAGTTCATGGTGGGCTCGGATTTTGGAGAACCAGGAGCTATCACTGTGACGAACAAACACCAGCAAGAGTTCTTCATGGAAAGCATAACCGTTGAAGGATTTGCTTGTGGTCCTGTTCATTTCCCCTGTAACTCCTGGGTTCAAGCCAGAAAAGATCATCCTGGAAAGAGGATATTCTTTGCCAACAAGGTAATCTAATCTCTCTAGTGATATCTGCGTTCAACTTTTGTGGGTGGTTTCGTTTTCAAGGAAGAATTGAATCTGTACAGGGACCCAAAAAAGTAATGCAGCTAATTAAGTTGGTTTTCGGTTTTAATTCTTTTCTTTAGTGTTGAAAAGGTCAAACTTTCCAGAACAATTTTTATTTTCCTTTTGAATATATTTACTCCGCCCCCAACGCCCCCCCCCACCCAAAAAAAAAAAAATTATTCAGTCAGAGGGCAACTGGGCATGCCAGCATGCCACCTATATGGAAAAGTATTGAAACCTTTGTGTCATTTTCGTTTACTATTATTCTTATTATTTAAGAAACCTGAGAATTTGCAAGCTGTTATTGTACTCATAAACAATCACCCATAAATAATAATATGAAAACCCTAGTGCTTGATGTAATTTTTAAAATATTTTCGTTTATTATCTTTTTATTAAAAGTCACGGAAAAAAACATTTTTCCCCTCTGGAAATTCATGTTGTGTATGCGCAGGCCAAGGCCTTAAAAATTGACGTGATATCAACCACCGACAGAATTGACTTTGCCCATCTCAATATTTCAGACAACCAAAGGATGAGAGATATCGTCTGTTTGTTGGAATAAATTCGAACCAATAGTATAATGTTATTCTTTGGAATAGCTGATAGTTTAATCATTATTATTAATTAGAAATAGCCCGAAAAAGATAATCTAATAAGTAAATTCTGGTTCTGATGTCACTTGAGCAGCCATATCTACCCCACGAGACACCAGCTGGGCTAAGAATACTGAGAGAGAAAGAACTGAGGAATCTAAGAGGTGACGGCACAGGTATTAGGAAATTATCAGACAGAATATATGACTTTGCCACCTACAATGATCTGGGAAATCCTGATAAAGGCTCAGATCTTGCTAGACCAGTTCTTGGAGGCTCAGAGGAATATCCTTATCCAAGACGGTGTCGTACTGGCCGCCTCCCAACCGACACAGGTACTTATGTACTAATCACAACTGATTAGCCCTCTAATCATGGATCATTTTAATTAATCAGAGCTTTTGGTGGTGTGATATGTGCAGATATGAATGCAGAGAGCAGGGTGGAGAAGCCGCTGCCGATGTATGTTCCAAGAGACGAACGATTTGAGGAATCGAAGCAGAACACATTCACGGTCAAGAGGTTGAAGGCAGTGCTTCATAACTTGATCCCTGGGCTGAAGGCAAGCCTCTCAGCTAATAACAATGACTTCAATGAATTCTCAGACGTTGATGGGCTGTACAGTGAGGGTCTGCTCATCAAACTGGGTCTGCAAGATGAAGTTCTCAAGAAAATCCCTTTGGTCCGCAAGATCCATGAATCAAGTCAAGGCCTTCTTAAGTACGACACTCCTAAGATCATTTCCAGTGAGTATCGCCTTCCTGTGTGTTATTTTCTACCCCACCATGGAATATTTTGATTTTCTAAATATTCATACAGCCATGTCCAAATCTAGTAAAGCTTGTTTTATAATGAGAACCATCTTTTGATGGGTTAACGTGCCCATTTGTTAGTGGGTACTGTGGGGTCAATTAAAGATTGAAACTTTAACTCACTTGATGTGGCTGAAAAAGATGACTGATGCATCACGAGAGTACATCTTATTATTATTATTATTATATCATCAGGCGCAGCCATACAAATAGCTATATTTTAATGTTTCGCATGTGAATGTTGAGTGAAAAGAATACTGTGGTATGTTGATATAATAATGATGGGCCAAAAGAGATCCACTTTCTGTTTGCCGATTTAAATAAAGCTTTTCTCCGTATGCTCAACGTGCAGAGGACAAGTTTGCGTGGCTGCGAGATGACGAATTTGCCCGTCAAGCAATAGCAGGAATCAACCCTGTGAATATCGAGAAGCTCAAGGTTTTCCCACCTGTGAGCAAGCTTGACCCACAAGTTTATGGTCCTCAAGAGTCTGCCCTCAGAGAGGAGCACATGCTAGGTCAACTTAATGGCATGACCGTTCAACAGGTATATGCCCTTCTCTTCCACTTAATTTGAGGAACACAAATGAGAATGAAAAGCTGTATCGTCTCAGATCCGACCATGTCATAATTACTGAATTTTCTTATTGGAAATTTTGCAGGCAATGGATGAAGATAAGCTGTTCATCATAGATTACCATGATATCTACCTTCCGTTTCTTGATGGGATCAATGCCCTTGATGGTCGAAAATCCTACGCTACTCGCACCATCTTCTTCTTGACACCCATGGGCACTCTCAAGCCGGTTGCTATAGAGCTCAGCCTGCCACCGGCCGGACCAAGTTCCCGGTCGAAACGCGTAGTCACGCCCCCCGTTGATGCCACCACCAACTGGATGTGGCAGCTTGCTAAGGCCCACGTTTGTTCCAATGACGCCGGTGTGCATCAGCTTGTCAACCATTGGTAAGCAAAGCCCTGTTGTTTCTCTCAACTCTTTCACACGCTGATATATAACAGACACGTGCGCACGTTTATGTATATGTATGACAATTAACTAGAGAATGGTGAATTTTGTATAGGCTACGGACACATGCGAGCATGGAGCCGTTTATATTGGCAGCACACAGGCAATTAAGTGCGATGCATCCTATATTCAAGCTATTGGATCCTCACATGAGGTACACACTGGAGATCAATGCCTTGGCTCGCCAGAGTCTCATCAATGCTGATGGAATCATTGAGTCTTGCTTCACTCCGGGACGCTACTGCATGGAAATCAGTTCTGCTGCTTACAAAAACTTCTGGCGCTTTGACATGGAGACCCTCCCCGCTGATCTCATTCGAAGGTAAATCATATATATGTTGTTAGGTTGTCCAAGTAGGTGGGAGGTGATAAAATTAGATTTAATAACTAATATAAAATAAAAATATTGTATGTTCTGATTCTGAGTAAAAAGATTCTCTGTGTTGTGTGATTGCAGGGGAATGGCGGTTCCTGACCCAACCCAACCTCATGGCTTGAGGCTGCTCATAGAAGACTACCCTTACGCGGCTGATGGACTGATGATTTGGTCCGCCATTCAAAACTGGGTCCGCGCCTATGTGAACCATTATTACTCGGACCCTGACCTCGTGGCCCAAGACAAGGAGCTTCAAGCTTGGTACTTTGAGTCCGTCAATGTGGGTCATGCTGACCTCAGACACGAAACCTGGTGGCCTCCATTGAACACCAGTGACGACCTTGTCACCATACTCACAACCTTGATTTGGAACGCTTCTGCACAGCACGCTGCCCTCAACTTTGGGCAGTACCCTTATGGAGGGTACGTGCCCAATCGCCCTCCAATGATGAGAAGACTAATCCCTGAAGAGAATGACCCGGAACATGCCAGTTTCCTTGCAGACCCTCAGAAATACTTCCTCAATGCCATGTCTAGCTTGTTGCAAGCTACCAAATATATGGCGGTGGTTGACACTCTGTCCACTCATTCTCCAGATGAGGAGTACCTCGGGGAGCGCCAGCAGCCGTCGATCTGGACCGGCGATGCTGAGATGGTGGAGGCGTTCTATGGGTTCTCGAACAAGATCAGGCAGATAGAGAAGGAGATTGATAAGAGGAACTGTGACAGGACGCTGAGGAACCGATGTGGTGCTGGAGTGTTACCTTATGAGTTGCTTGCTCCTAGCTCAGAACATGGCGTTACATGTAGAGGAGTTCCAAATAGCGTGTCCACATAAAAAAAAAAAAAAATCAAATAAGTGCCACAATTTACATGTTGTGAAAACAGGAGTGTAGTTTTGAGAGACATTATCACGGATGGTTCATTAGTTGCTGCTATAAATATATGCAGATGATGATAGTTGGGGTGCATATGACATTGTTCATTTTGCACCTAAGAGTAGGCAGATATCCTGGTAGGGTTGTATAAGCTGTATATGGGAATAGAAGCCGATGGTATTGGAGATGTAACTATTTGTACAATGGTGATAGAAATTAGTAACTTTCATGATATCAACCATTCTTAATTTGTTTCCTACTTTTAGCTTACCAGTGAGGATGCGATGTTTACAGAATGTGAAAAAAAACATACAATTGCGTACTCCCAAAACTCTCTAGGGCGCACTCAAGTGAATTGAAGGGAAGATTAAGAAGTCAATTTGATGTCATTTTATTTTTCAATAGAAGAAAATTTAAATAAGTTAGATCTTAGGAGTTTATTAGCATTAGGGTATGTTGCTGGGCTCAAAGAACATTTACAGATTTACTGCTATTAACAAGGTTCTCATATTAATAGTAGAACTTGAATCCATAACCTTAACAAGGTTCTCATATTAATAGTAGAACTTGAATCCATGACCTTGTAAGTTACAAGTTAAATAGATTAATCTTTGATATTTTGTGCTAAAAACAACAACAACAACAACAACAACAGAACTGGGTTGGGCTTCATTTGCCAAATATTGTTGTTTTTTTCATATGAACATAGCCCCTAGGTTTTGTTTTCGGTCCGTAACGTATGGGTATTCGGCCTGAATATTGGAGATTCGGCTTTACAATTTGGTAATGACTTTGAAGGCCTAAAAGAGGGTCGCGTTTTTCATCAAAGTCATAAAAAAAGAAAAAGAAAAAAAGGTAAAACTTCAAAGTTTTGAATTCTGATTTTGCATCTGTCGGATTTGTCTGTCATCATTTGTATTGCAGCTTTATTCGGTCCTACCTCCTATCGCACGACCACGTCCACAACCACAAGACTGCAAATTGTTGATTTAGCATTTTATGTTTCATATAAAAGCTTAATACAGTGGAGACCATACGATATCGGTTATTGGATTAAAAAATCCACTGTTGAGAAAATGATGAAAAAGAAAACATTTCATTAATCAATTCAAATAATGAAAACAAATAACATAAACTTCCTTCATTTGAAGGATTACAAAACAATTAACCTATTAAGGTGATGAACAAACCTCATTTTAAAAATTAACTTAAAGTGAGAGCTTTAGTTAACTTCTTTCTCGAAGGTGGGATTTAACTCCTTTACACAAACACAATGATAGAGCCCCTTTATATACTTTTAAGAATACCAACTAATTAAGTGATTAAACACTAATCACTTCTAATATTTCAATACCCACAATTGAGATTAACGAATTGAAATAAAAAAAAAAAGTCTGTTACAACAACGTGATTTATTGTTTGAAACTTTTTTATAAGTTAGTTAAATAAATTAAAATTTATTTAGATGATTTAATTTAAAAATTAGTTGAGATGTATAATGATAAAAATAGACATAAATTTTATTGTACAAGTATATTTTTGATTAATTCGATATTTTTAGGAAAAAGAATATTAAACTTAGCATCACAACTTTTTTAAAAAAAGTAGATCACAAATATAAAATATATTGATAAGTCAAAAATATTAATTTTTAAAAAGATAGAATTAAATAATAAAATTCAAAATATTCAATTATGAAAAGGTAAAATAAATTTATAAATTACAAAATATTCAATACATGTCATCTACAATTTATTATTCTATCACAAACATGTATCTATCATGATGATTTAGTTAGATTTGATGAGAATGTCTCACCAGTATTTGTATCTTGCTCATGACAGAGGTAGAACTACATGTATATTGAGGGGGGCCACAACTCTAGTGCCATCTTTGTTGGGAGGTTATATATTCCATGTGAACCATAATTTAAGTCATTGTTAACTAATTTACGCTTCTCAAGTAAAGTTGATTAAGATCTTAATTTTTTAAAAATTTCTACAATTTTTCAATCATGTGTTTGAGTGAAATAAATATAGCAGTTAGCTTATTCAAAACACTCTCATTAATTACTTATTAAAGTAAGGGTGTAATTAAAAATATATATATAACACCTATCCAATATCTTATATTTTGAATTAAGGAAGGAATCTAGAAAAAGACTTTTATTGTGGTAGGAAAGGAGTATTGTGCTACAAGGTTTGCTTTGTGTAGGGTTGGTTGGCCTCCCATTCCATAAAAAAAAAAAATTACCCCCCTCTCTCATGCATAATATTTATATTATATATATTATATATATTATTTTTTTGTAACAACATGGATTTTAATTTCTTGATTAAAGGGACTAATCAAGATTAATTAAATAAAATTTTAGTATTAATTTATGTGAGGATGGTTAGAAATGGTTAATGAGCTTGTTGGTTTCATTTATAGCCCTTGAATCGCGTTTAGAAGTGATTTAGGCCACCTGGGCTTAAATTATTGAGTAAATTTTAGGCTAGCCATTCTACGCCATCCGTCGCTGTGGATGCAATGTGTGTCACAGCAAATGGTTAAAAATTTAAAACAATTAGCTCATAGATGCAAGCTGCATATCATCAAAAGGAAGAAAAAGAGAGAGCAATGGGAGAGAGCAAAAGATCTACTAAGGAAATAACCTTTGAGCACTTGGGAGGTGTTTAGAGCTTAATTTCATCTAGATAAACCTTCCTTACTCTTCTCTTTTCTTTTTACACAGTTTGGATGCTTGGTTTGGGTTTGTAAGATGATGATTTTTGGATTTAGGGCTAAGGGTTTGAATCGATTGGTCTAAATTAAACTAATAGGAATTATTTAATTATTCCACATCTAGTTTAAAAGTTTTTATAAGGTTGTGAGTTTGGGTTATCCAGTTTGGACAAACCTTAAATCTCTAAAGGATATTTTAGATTGTTGAGTGCTATATTAGTAATTATTTGAATTAATGAGAGCTAAATGAAATTAATATGAGTTAATAAACTTATTGGTTGTGAGATTAAAGTTATGATTATGAAATTTGGTTGTTAAAGTGTGAAATAAAAAATTGAAAGAGTTGACTTTGATCATTATTAGTGATGGTTGTTAATGTTAATTGTAGACTAATCTTTTGAAGCACCAAAGAGCTTGCATTTAACTTGAAAGCAAGTGATATTTGGGGTAACCTTTGAATCTTCAAAGATTTAAGATAATTGAGGCAATCTAATTTCTGTCATTGCTTATTAAAGTAATTATAAGTGTTTGTGAACTTGAAATTACATTTTATATATATATACCTTTATGAATCTATATATTGTTTTCAATTTGAAAGTATGCAAGTGTGGCTTGGTATATTAATATAATTGTGAAATATTAAAATGATGATTTAAAGTTCTTGAATTTGGAAAGGATATCGATGAAAATGAGCATGATGATGATAATTGAATATGCTATGTGATGAATTAACACATGATAAGTTGTATGATCATATTGATGGCAGGAGTTCGCCTTTGTAGAGTAATGATTTGTATTGACGTGGATCACACTAACATTGTGAGGCTTTGGTGTTTAGTTCTATACAATATACTTAGATCCCACTAAGCAAAGGTAGTAATATGGCTTATCTTTAAACTCCAACTAATGAAGTTGATAATATGGTTTTGTGATACCCTTGTATTTGAGATCAGGGAATCCATGGTTTAAGAATAAAAGTAGGGCCTTAGTTAGGCCATCTTCATAATTGGAGATCTTGAACTATCCTAATCACTTAGGTTTAGCTTCTAATTATTTTGTAGCCTATGGATTCAGTTTGCAATGATGGAGGTTTGGAAAAAATGATGATCATGCATTGCATTGAGATATGTGCTTAATGATTCTAAGTTGTTTTATATACACTTGCTCACTTTGCATGCCTATGGTTATTTGATTTGCATGAACATATTTTAGATTATCTTAGTTATTAAATGGTTATACTCACATTTTGTTTAACATTTTACAGGTACTAACCTCTGACAGGGCAAAAGAAAGGTCTTAAGGCTTAGGAAATTATTTTCCTATTGTAATAACTCATGATTAGTTTGTGATATGTGTAATTATTATGATAATGACAATTAGGATATTTATTTTGATTACTTGCACCGTTGCATGCATTTAAGTTGATTTTTAGTATTTTATGCCCTGGGTCAACTTGAATGAGTTATTTATATATAATTAGAGTCAAAATACTAGTAAAAGTATGTTATGAGTTTTTTTAAAGGTTATAAATGATTACTTGGTAGATTGAATGATGTTTACGTCCCCCTTGCTTTTTGAAGAAATTAGAGTTAAGGAGTGAATATATGAAATGTGTTGTATATGTATATTGTGGTATGTTGTATAAACTGTTATAGATCCTTTGAGTTTGATCTAGGTGTGGGGTTGGACTTTTGGCATTTGGGTTGAGTTTTGGACATCCTGTTTGTGTAAAAGTATGAAAGTGAAAATTGGTGTCTGGGTGTTCAACACTTTAATGTGATATAATTTTGATATGAAACAAGTGCCAATAGCTATTTCATTGAATAAGCTTTCTATAGACTTTTAGACCACTTCAAATGAACATCAGATGAAGATTTTAGGTGTGTCGAATGTTGGTCCTTGTATTTGTTCTGTGATAGCAAAGTGCTATCATTTATGTGAAAGTGCCCTGTGACAGATAGCGCTTTCACTGCAATGCATGGTGTAACACTCTAAATTTTTTTTTTCAGATAATTAACTTAACCATGATAGAAAAGTGTCTATCATGGTAAGTAGAAGTTAACTAATCCTTTTTTATTTTGAAACAACTCTTTAATTTGAAATACTACCATGATAGAAAATGGACAATCATGGTAGAAAAAAATAAAACATAGTTTTATACAATATTCCACATATTAAAATGATTACCATGGTAAAAAAAGCTATATCATGATAGAAAGAATTAAGCTATATAAATAAGTATTACCTTGATAAATAGAATTAAACTCCTAAAATTGTCATTTTTAAAATTTTGGGATCCTAAGTATTTAAAAACAAAAATAAGTGTGAAAAGCCTATATGCTCTCATTCAAAAATTGAAACACAATAAACAAAATAGAATAGGAAATTAGAAATAGTTATGCATTCCAAAAAAACTTCTAAACACTTAGCAAGCTTTCATAATAGCACAAAGCAATTCTTGCTACTACTCACATCTAAAACTATAGCTGGGTTATAGTCATCAAACACAATTTATATCAAG